ATGTGACAATGTATGACAAGGGGCAGGGGGCGTTCAAAAGTTTTGTGACGTCACATATTAAAATTTAAAATACTAAAACGCGAAATTTAGATGTGAATAAAAAACTATAAAAATCTACGAACTTGATCTATATTTATTAATAATTTAGCATTCTCGCTATCTGAAATATTGGACTTTATGTTAATTTTATTAGATTATTTAATAAAAATAGTAAAAAATTAAAATAGCTATTTTCTCTCGATTATTTTTAAATACATGTCTAAATTTAAAAAATGTGTGACGTCACATCAGGAGGGAGGGATTATAAAAATGTGACAATCTGTGAGGTAATTTATGGATGGCCCCCAATTACATAAAACGAAATTTTTAGAAAAAATTTAAAATTTTGCAGTTATTTGTTTCGAAGAGAACCGTTTTAGAATTCTGATTTGTTTAGTTAAGTAAACCGAAGATGACTCAAAAACTATTCGTTCTAGAAAAACAGTTTACAACATTTATGTTAGAGTATAAAAAATTAATAAATATTTATATTTTTTTAAGAGCTATACTTTTATAAATTAAAAAATGTCTACTTCAATGATTCTTTTAAACTTATTACGTTGTATTTAACCAAACGATCCTCTTGAAAAAAATTGTATAAATTGTTCTCGTAGCTCATTTTAAAAATAAATTTTGTCCCGAGTTTCATCAGTCTACGTCAAACATCCACAGTGATATTTCAGGAAATGTAATACTTTAATTTTAACTTCAAATTACGAATCACGCTTTGCTAGAAATAATTCGCTCTACCACCTGCGGAAGATTCCCGAAAAAATATGCCCAAAATGGAATACAATGCAACGATCACATTTGTTTTTGTCACTACATAATCGTAAACAAAATATATTTTTAGACGGCTCACGAGTGATATCATTTACCGGCGAGATCCAAATGAATTATTTATAATTTCCCTTATTAATAAACGAGCAGCAGTCTTCGATATTAATGATCAGAGAAGGCCACTTAAAAGGAATTAGTGGTTCGTCTGGTGAATATCAAACCGTCACTAATCAAATCGGTCGGCCTCAAGGTACCCCTCATTAGTCACTGGGACGAGTCAGACTAATTAAAATTTTTGTAATAACCGGGGCTTGTCGAAACAAATTGATTTTACGATTATATCTCAATAAGTTGTTTTTATGATTTAACCACTTTTTCTGCTGCTTGTAAGATGCTAAGTTAAATAAAACCTGATGGAATAAAGATACGTGGCTAAAAATTAAATTCAAGTAAATGGCGAAGTCGCCAGGAACGTCGGAAACCTACGAATAGACAAAAAATTCAAATTAGATCATAATAACAGTATAAAAGTCCAAAATATCCAAAAATTTTTTAATCAGTAATTGAAAAAAGTGGTACCTAATAAAAAAACTATCTACGAATTTATGAAATGTTTTATTATTTCTAATTAGTAGGTAACTGCTAATAGTACTAAAAAAAAATGTTCTATATTTTGTGCTGTATTGACTTTTATACTGTTATGACTTCCTCCAATAGATATTTTGAAAGCGTTCAGAAGGACTCAGGAAAATTTTTAAATGATAGCTAAAACAACCTAAAAACCTTTTTAAGCGATTAAAATAGTAATATCATTTAATTCAGAATTAAAAATGACTAGATTTTGTCATAAAAATGGCAGCGACGTATTTAAAAAAATTTACCTGATGATGGCCCCTCGAAGAGGAAACACGTCGGATTGCAAAAATGTTGACGCCATTGGATAGAGCGAAAGAAGTGGCAATGTAAATATGTAATTTATTTTAAAATTCGTTTTCAAATAAACTCGACAAAAAAATAAAATGATTTTGCAAAATTTCGGATATCTCCGGAACTATCCGGAATTTTAAAACTTTCTAAAATGCATATTGTTAGGTATAAAATAACACAACTTTTTTCAAATTTGAGCCAGCCTGTATCTCTTACCATTTCCTAGATTCTAATGCTATTCCATCCTTATCTTGGACAGACTGTATTTTTATCAAATACAGTAAAAATAAAGGATTAGGAATAATATACTTTAAAATGTAAAAGTTCAAAGTACATCGCAAAAAGAAAAAATACACTCAAAGGTGTAATTCTACACAATCTGTCATGTATATGAATTTCCACAATTATTGTCAGTGTACTTTTAAATATAGTCCACCAAATCGGAAGCATTTTTAAACTATCTTAAATATTTTCCAAACACAGTAACTTTATAAACTTCATAAAAATGCAATTCAAGGGGATAGAAACATAAAAATGACACACTAGTTAATTTGAAAAAATATTATCAACATTTAGTTGCAGTTTGGCAAAAAAAACAATATAAATGTATCTTTTATTATAATTTTTATATACACTGAAGTGTGGAGATGTTAATAAATATCCCTCACTGAAAAATTAGCCTTGCTTGGACCCTGACAGTGAAAAGAATGGAATTTGTATGCTAAGTAGCTGATTAAAATAACAGCATTCTACACCTTAACATGCTGATATTAATCTCGAAATAAATATTTGTACGATGGTTTCAAAGCAGCCCCCAATTAAGTTAAAATAAACAGGTATCTTGATAATTTATTTATTATATCATATTAATCATAACGTGATTCATATGGTTCGTATAAAGCTTTCTTGTCGTAGAGGAAGAAGATATTGATTAATTCGGATTAAAAATGAATCGAATAACCACATGGTGGAGTCGTTTGAGAAACATTCAATTACAGAGATACGCGATTCTTTTGTTTCGAGCGTCATCCTGGAAATTGAGACGTAAGGAAAAAATTAAACCACCTGTCTGCTTATATTTTCTATTTACAGTTCACTTTCTTACCTCTAGACTCAGTATACCCTGATCAGAATAAAACAATAAGTTGTCCATCATATAAATAAAGATATATATTTACTAGCAATTTCTTTAATATTCCAAATCCAGCCCCTTGTAAAAATAACATTTGGCAATAACTTGTTTCAATGAGGTGAGCAACATTTGAAAAGCCGTGTGCAAAATTGTGCAAAATTATAGACTAACTTCTTTTGGTAAGGTGTGCAAGATTTGAAAGTAGATGTGCAAAATTGTATTACCCAAACAAAATAAGAAGGCTAAAAAAACGTTACATTAACTAAGGTGTGCAAAATTATTATTATTATATTATATATTCTAAGAAAATGGCATATAAAAAATTAAATTGGTTTGAAAATAAGTGTGCACAAATTTGTGCAAAATTATCCGAACAAAACGGCACATAAAAATATTTCCTCGGACTATGACTACTTTCGGTGAAATGTGCAAAAATTGAACATAAATGTGCAAAATTGTGCAAAATCATGCAAAGTTGTCCGAACAAAATAACAAGAATTAGATCTGGTTGAGTTCGGTGAAGAATTTTTTTTTATTCCATGGATATCTTTCGTTGGGTTATGTAAAATGTAAAGAAGTGCAAAATTGTGCAAAATTACCCAAACGATATAGCATATGAAAATTATATTTAGTTGAGTCTTTTCTTCCATGGTCTATATCTTTCTTCGGTAAAGTGTGCAAAATTCGAAAATAGGTGTGCAAAATTATGCGAGATTATAAGAAGGAAATAACATACAAGAAATTAGATTTGGTTGAGGTGGAGATTTTTTTTATTCCATTGACATCGTTCGTTGGGTCGTGTAAAATGTACAGATGTGCATAATTGTGCAAAATTATCCAAACGATGTAGCATATAAAAATTAGATTTAGTTGATTCCGAGATTTTTTTGTTCCATGGTCTATATCTTCTTTAGGTGAAATGTGCAAAATTTGAAAATAGGTGTGCAAAATTGTGCAAAATTATAAGAACAAAATAACATAAAATATGATTTAGTTGTGTGAGGGAGCATTTCCTTTTTCTTCCATAGACTATAGCTTCTTTCGGTGGTGTGCAAAATAGTGCAAAATTATCCCAAGAGAACATAAAAAATTTGATTTGAAAGATTTGTTTTAATTCGTGGGAGAATTTTTTCTTCTATTTTTCTACTTTGGTGAGGTGCAAAATTGTGCAAAATACTTCTTTCGGTGAAGTGTGCAAAATGGAATATCTAAGCATATTCAAACGTTTCTTGTTTGAATTATGTAGGACACCATCAAGTTGCAAATCACCGCCTGTAAAAATCTCTGTAGTTCCTTCTAGATTTCTGTGCAAAATTTAGTAATTGGCTTTTATAATACGACAGTGACAAACTTTAAATGTATGTGATCAGTGCCAATAATTAGAAAAATTATTTCATCTTTCATAAATTTAAAAGTGATCATCTTTAAATACATTCAAGCTCTTTTTTATGCATTTCATAACTTTATTGAAAATTTTGTTGTCATGCGATTTTGTGGGAAAAGTCCTTTGAAATAGATACAATTTAAAAAAAATACATTATTACATTTAACTAAATATGTGAGTGTTTCAAACTTGACTTACTGAAGATTTTAAAAAGCTATTTGATTTGTCTTGTGAATAATGTGAAAAAAAAAATAATGGGTTATTATTAATTTACTAAACCATTTTCTTCCATTCTCGTCTATAAATTCAATGATTTTGTTGAGTTTTGATGAGTCCACAAATAGCTTAAAAATTGTATTGTTTAATGACTTATCTGCGATGTTCCTTCAACAAAAACAATTTTTTTTATGGGAAATATGTTTCACAGGGAACTTTTAAATTCAGTAATTCAATATTTTTGAATAATACTCTAATTTGGCGAGTTGTTGATTAACATTATTTGGAAATATGTTCGGTTCTAGAGTTCCAAAGATGATGAAAGTTTCTAAAACATATTTTTGCAGTACCTTTTTAATATATTTCGAGTAACGAAACATTTTAGAGAAGTTATTGTCTTGTTCTAAACTTAAAGTTAAATAAAATATAATAACTGTTGTACACTTTGGTTACTGATAAAAGAATGAATACAATAGGCAACAAGCTTAGCCTATTTATTACTTTCAAAATTGCACGATCAAACATTTACAGAACGAATTAATTCAATTACAAAAAATAAGCATCATTTAAGCAACAAAACTAACATCATTCGAGACTAAATTTTAAAATTCTACACTTCCTTGCACGTCAGTAACGGTGGTACTACACATTCACACTGAACATCTTTTTCACGGCCGGAATAGCTGACTTTCGTTTTGATTCCTTCCCCAAGTTTTAACGTTTTAGACCCAAATACACAGGAGAGGTCTGAAATTAAAAAAATTGAATCATTAAAAGGAAAGGCTGCACGAAAATATAATTTACGCCTTTTTAAGTCTTTATCTTGAAGCGATTTAATATTTACTTACTTTACTAAAGGTGTTAATGTCACACGTTTAAGAGAGCCATAATGACTTGTTGGCATGTAATTATTTTATCAAGCGGTTTTCTTACCTGAGTTAGAATTGACGTTGTTGTTAATTTTGGTGATATTGTCAGTCGGAGAAGCTAAAACAAATGTATATAGTTTGTTTTGTAATATTTAGTAACTGTTAATGTTAACAATAATGTCTTATGTAGATATATTTGCTGTGTTATAAGTACTTTGACTAAAGGGTTATTTTAGTTATAAAGAAGAAAGAAAATTTTTCAAAATTTTGCTGTAATATTTTCTAAAAGAAAATATATTGTCATAAATGTGATTCAAACCTAAAACTATTGAAATGGAACACCCTGTATGTTATTACACATTCTATTAGAACGCTTTCTCAGAATTACAATTATACCAGTTTTTTAGGGATCTAATATTTTAGAAAATTATAACCTTGAAATCAATAATCTTGGTTCCAAAATGATTGAACCAATAGACCTTTTACCAAACGAAAAAACAGTAAACAAATATATGAAATCGGTAACATACCAAGGTATATACTTTAAAACTTATAAAAATACAAATAGTGACATTATCACAAGCATACTAAAAAAATCTTGTGTCATATTGGAATAAAGAGTGATAGAAAATTGGTATTATGAAGCATACAATCTGATCGAACATGTTAAAAATATATACAAATGGAAAGTACGATGTATACAAATACCGTAGTGTAAAATTCGACCTTAACCTTCTGGTTGAAGGTCAAGCCAATGCCAACTTGAAAATAAATATTAAATGGAATACATCATTTTTTATGCGAGAAGTCGATTGAGCACCAAAACTTTATGTCCGAGTAGGGATAAGATTATTCTTCCGATATGTTCTTGCAGGTCAGTTGGAGGTCAAGCTCACTTTTCTTTGAGTAATTCGACAAGACAATCGCGCAATAATAGTTTCAAATAAAATTTATAGGAATAACAAAGTAGATGGTGACTTTGAGTTTGACCTTGACCACGAGGTGCAAGGTCAAACTGAGGTGAACTTAATATCAAATAGAATACGCTATGTTTATGCCATAATCGAATGTACCGGTTTAAAAAATCATAAGCTTCGGCCTTACCTATTTAAATCGATGTTCAATTGTTTTTTTTTTTTTTGAAAACATAAAACTAAATCATCCAGAGGAACATCTACAAGTAATAATCTACATAACTCAAAATACGAGGGTAAATATTAAATATCAGCGGGATTTTTGTTAACACACTTGAAGCATAATAGTCATTTATGCCTCAAGTGTGTTATTGATGAAAATTAATTGTTAATATTGAATAAAGATAAGTGTGAAGGATCATTTTTAATTCAGTATAAATGTATATTTTTCTTTGCTACTAGTTTTGGCTATTATCAGGTAAAAAAGTGGGGATCATTGGAAAATAATTGGCTTCTTAAAATGCTAGTAAATGGCATTATATAATTTTCACTTATAATCTCCCTAGTGCTTGAATTATTTCCGGAAATTTTTCCGAAGGAACGCATTTTTTAGAAAAATGCGTGATTGAGGAAAAATTTCCGGACATTAATTCAAGGACGTGGGGGATTCGGTAAGTAAATTTTACAACCAAAATTTATTTTAAAAATTTGTTTCATTTTTAAACTTATTTCCCCAAAATAAAGTTGGCTTGGCAGGTAGACATTGTTTTGTGGTGCATAACATATTTTTTTCTTCTTAAACGTCACATAATTTAATCGCATTTCACGCGTTTTTTTTAATTCAAAAATGGCTCGTTTTGGAAATGAAAATTACGAAAACATAAAAACAACACGTTCCTTTCACTTTAGTAATAAATGAGACATTTAATTTTTGAATTCAAATATTTACCTTTGCAATACAATTCACTTAGTATTACTAAAATAGAAGGAAAGTAAGTTTATGTAGAAAAGCGATGCCTATGGCAGTTAATCAATGATTCTTATTAAAACATAAAAAACACATTCCTTGCACTTTAGTAATAAAAAAGGCATTTAATTTTTAAATTCAAATATTTATCTTTGCAGTACAATTCACTTAGTATTACTAAAATAGAAGGAAAGTAAGTTTTTGTAGAAATGCGATGTCTATGACAGTTTATTAATTATCCTTATTAAACATAAAAAACAACACTTACATTCACTTTAGTAATAAAAAAGGCATTTAATTTTTGAATTCATAAGTAAGTTTTTGTGGAAAACCGATGTCTATGGCAATATATCAATGATTCTTAAAAAATCATAACTGCAATCAAGTAGGCTTAGGCTTGTGATGTTAAAATCGTCAATGACAGTCATTTTCTCTAGCTTCTAATTGTTTACAATTAAATCATGGCAGTGAACAACCAAAAAACTAATTTAAAACCTTATAGTATATGCAATTCTTGCACCAAAATAGGGGACATTCTTATGTCTCATAAAAATTTTAAGTATTTGCCATATTTACTGAAAAAAACTGGAATCTGTCCGCATCAAGAAAACCTTTTCGCAGCTATTCAAAAGATGTCGTAGGAAGATATCCCATCTTTTTTATGTAAAACCAGGGCTCAGCAGAACAAAATTTCATAAAATTATTACATATATTTTATGAAACACAGACATCTGATGGAAATGAAAAATAAATGTAATAATTATGTTCCTCGTTACTCTCCGTTGTGAAGAGAAGAGTTCCAGCCAGAATTTCAAAAACATTTAGCGTTAATAGAAGAAATCTGAGAACAAATATTTGGTAAATAATTATTTGCATCTATTTATTATTTTAAAATAAATAAAAACATTACAAAACAAAATTCTGGATAGGTACTGATTTTTAAACCATATGATAGCTGTGAAAACAAAAATTCCACTTATTAATTTTGTTTACCTAGCTTGGCAGGAGGAAAAAAAAATCCGAAAAATTTGAAGGTTGCCATGGGCAACTGTCGAAATTGTAGTATGTAATTGGCTTCAAATGACAGGTGTAAAATTTTCTGTAAAATAATGAAAACATGTATAATTTTCAAGTCATCGTAACAAATCGAGAACGAACCAATTCTTTTTCAATGATTGCCATTTTTTCCTTGATGATGGCATAATAGCCGAAACTAGTAGCAAAAGAAAATAAATTTTTGTACTGAATTAAGAAGGACTCTAATTTACCCCGTCACACTTAGGTGTATTTTGTTACAACTCTGTTAATAAATTTTAGCTCCAATTTTTTTTTAATAAATTAAAATATAAACAGCTTCACGTATATGTAAGGTGTTTTGCGGAGAAAAAAATGTTCTAAAAGTAATTAATATTTACTTACGACAAACCCAAGTGTTCGGACAACAAAGCGCCTCTTTACTGAAATAAACAGGTGCACACTTTTTGTGCAGCTCCTCTGCATTATTTATCTGAGAAGTGCACCAAGACCTCTGGCAGAAAGGTGGTTCAAGGCGTCCCTTCTAGTCTTTACTGCAGATACATTTAAGGCAGGTATTTTTTGGGTAGAACTCTTGACCATCTTTGTATACATTTCCATCTACAGAGCATTCTGCTGCTGGTTTGTCTTCCGAAGCTAAAATCATTCAGAAATTGTAGTTGATTTTTATTATTCCTAATTTTTCAATTCTTGGTGTTTACTAGACAGGGTGTTCTACAAGCTCTATGACAAACTTTGACAGATGGTGGCTAGGTTCGTGTCAAACATTTTTTCTTATATCAAGATATCGTCGCGTTACATGTAAACATGCTATCTAAAATTGTACTTGGAAGACATGCTACCTCAAATTAAGCTTGGAGAACATGCTAGCTCAAATCTTTAAGAAAAAACATGTTACCTCACACAAAATTAAATTTGAGTAGAAAGTTAAGTTGGCTGCATTGGCTTTTTCCAATCTTAACTTGAAGTAGCCTGTTTTCCAAGTACAGTTTTAGATAGCATGTTTTCATAGTAACGCGTAGATATGTCCGATTCGTTTTTGTTTAGAAGTTACAAGCATTTTAAAAAATATAATTTCATATTTCAATCAAAGTGGCCTGGAACTTCTAAACAAAAACAAATCGGACCTATGTTCATATAACGAAAAATGTTTGAAATTAACCCAGCTACCATCTATCAACGTTTGTCACAGAACATGTAGAACACTCTGTATTGTAAACACATAACGAAGAATTAATTAAAAATTTCTGTATTGAGTGAACAATGACCTGAGGGAGGGCATCGGCTTAAAAAATATATAAATATTAATTAATTCACCGTGGGTTTGAATTTTGAGTCAATCACTGTCTAATGTGATCAATTATAGCTGAGAACAAGACATTAATCCGTAGGTATTGAATTTTATTTTAAGGGAATTATAATTCTAATGAGAAAAATTCCACTATACTTACGACAGTTTCTTCCTGCGGAACAACATTGATCCAATGCGAATTTTTCGTAGCAACCAGGCTTGATTGGATAATCCAGCCATTCGGGACAATCTATTTCCGCACACATAAAATTTGCAGTTCTAAAAATATCCAGCCATTAGTAGAGGTCAATGGAAGATTGCGATACTGTTTTGTTTAAAACGTTTTTTTTTATATTCAATATCTCCATCTACAGAACCATCTGGACAGATAGCGAACTTAAGAACTATGTTCAACAACATTGTAATAAGTTTGTTACTGTGTGACGGTAAGGATTTCTTCACCATTGACGGCGTGTCGATATAGGCACGGTAGTCACACACAAATATCTGTCTAATAATTTCGTTATTTGCTAGGTTAGATAATATAGCGTCATAAACAAAGTGAGCTGGACAATGGACAGAGTACCCAATAACTTTTTGATCCACCGAATCTGTATCTAAATTCGTGTTTCGACTCTAACATCAAGAAATTCTTTTAGAAAGTGGTTTTCTTGATTTTAAACCGACTAGAGTAGTCTATGATTGGAAAACATTGGAATTCCTGATCTCATTATAACATAACCCCATAACCCTATACCCCATATCTCCGCAACTCCTTAACCCCGTAACCCCGCGACCCCGTATTTGATCACAAAAACTCACTACCACTAGACGTACAATCATAGAAGGTTATTGGGTTATGGGGTTACAAGTTACTGAATTATAGGGTTACGGGATTATTGAGTTATGGGATTACAGGGTTATTGGGTTATGGGGTTTTGGAAGCCTGCCAACTCATATTTATGTAACTTAGAGCTTCGTGGTTACACATCCTAGTACACCCACGTTTATGGAGTAACTGAGTTAAGGGGTTATAGGTTTAGGGAGTCATGTTTCGGACCCCCTATATCCATATTTCCACGGAGTTTTATGGTTCTACACTCTCACACTTTCTGAGTTACGGGTTATGAAACTATCGGATTATGCTGATATGAAACTATGGGGTTATGAAACTATGGGATTATGGGGTTTTGAAACTATGCGGTTGTGCGGTTATGGAACTATGGGGTTGTGAAACTATAGGGTTATGGGGTTATGAAACTATGGGATTATGGGGTTATGAAACTATGGGGTTGTGGGGTTATGGAACTATGGGGTTATGAAACTATGGGATTATGGGGTTATGAAACTATGGGGTTATGGGGTTATGAAACTATGGGGTTGTAGGGTTATGGGGTTATGGTGCAATGAGATCATGATTTGGAACTTCTTCCAATCACTGACTACTCAAGTCAGTTTGAAATATTGAACTCCACCTTCGAGAGGAGTGTCTTAAATCTTAGAGTCAAAACACTGACAGATTTTGCACTTTCTTTTTTGTGACGCTGTGTAATTTTATATTAAATTGGATGATTTTAGTACAGAGAATTTTCACACTGCCTTACCTACCTTGTTCAACTTCGACCGCTTAGCCCTGACTTAACATAACCTAACTGCCTTTGTTAAATTAGGTTAGATCAGGTTAAGGTTTATAATATTATGTAAAAACACTTATTTAGATTTTTGTCATTTGAAAATAAAATGCACTTACGGTACTTAGTAACCATATTTCAGAGAGTGGCAAACAAATAAGGGAGGGGAAAATTCGAGAGCCTGACGACGCAATGACGTCAGAATGTGAAAATGTCCGATTTAATGTAAAAGAACAATATAAATATTATATAAAATAGTTTTTTTTTTAATTGTATTTTCCCTAATTAGGCAATAGACGGGAAAATTGTATGCATTTTTGAGATTTAAGTCTGCTTTTTAATAAAAATATATAAATATGTGCTTTCTATTTAAATAGTCTAATTAGGAATAACTTCCCCATCCACTGCAAAAAGTCACGAGTCGCCACTGTTCTTCACAAATTAGAAATACATTTTAAAGTAATATACGAGGGGTATTAGAAATATTTAAAATCCTACCCTAAGTGATCTTTGCACTGACAGTCCAGATAGCAGGGTTCATAAGTTAATTCATTTCCTATTTGTTCATTTAGTGCGTAAGTTTTTCCTCTGAACAAACAAGAATCGTTCTTCTGGGTAAAATCGTCGCACTCGTACTGTATAGCGCAACCCCTGCCATCTTTCTTCACTGGCCTACAGCCTAGATCCTCATATATGAAGGTGCCTAAAGTGTCGCAACTTTTCTCAGCTGGAAAAAACACGAATTATAAGCAAAAAACAACAAAAATACTCCTCCATCAAGTTTAAGGCACTTGATCTAATCGGTCACGAATGTAGATGCTCATAAATTCTGATAAATTGCTGTAGTAAAGTAACACTGCTGCCATCTGTGAAAACCTAAAATAAAATACCTAAAAACCTAAAAATACCTAAAATATTGCTGTTAAAAATGCCTGGTATTATTTACATAAATTAAAAAAGTAAAAGATCCAAAACAGAACCTCGAGGAACGTCATGTCATAACTGACTTCTAAGGTATTTGACTGTATACTATTTACAATAAAATAACGAAAGCTCTGGGTTGAATATAAAAATAGTAAGAGTAATATAATTGCATAGAGAGTTATTTGCCTGAACATGCTGTATTAAAATAATTTTGGAGCATACAGCAACTTTATTCGAAATAATTATAAATCCTTTAGGATCTAGACATTATATTAAAAGCTTTTGAAACAAAAATTTTGCATGAAAAAGCACATACCAAGCCATTTGCAATTTATAAAAAGTTACTGTACTACAACTAATTATACAGATCCAGTTTATTATATATTTGTCATATTTTTATAAACAAGAGAAACTATTTTTAATTGTTGTAATTGTGCTACTTACATTTTACGCTAATGAAGACACCGAAGGTCAAACAAAACATGAATAATATTACACGAAACATCGCTGCTCTTGTATTGCACATTATTGCAGAACGTGTGTGAGATTTGTATCAAGACAAACAAATAGCCTTTATAAATAGAGATGTGTAATTATGTTATAAACAAATTTGCACGAATTTTTATAAATATTAATTGATAATACAAATTAATTTATTTATTCGTTTAGATAATTAATTTCGTTTCCTATGCAAGAATAAATTATAGATTTCGTGGCTAGTTCAAAGTAATATTTAAATACAATTTACTTCTTAATTTGGAGAGTTGAGGTTACTTCGCTTCTAATTTAACAGTCCTTGCTTACAATGCTGAGAATAGTGAGCTAGACAAAAACAGAGCTGTTATTGCGGTTTTTAGAGGAAGAACTAAACATCGAGAAGAGCCTGTATAACTCTTTCTGTTTCTGCCTTTCTTTCCCATTACCTATAGCCATCATTGTAGGAAAAAGTTTACCAGCACTATACAATAATAGATAACTTATCAAATTATGTAATTAATCGGAAATTATCAGCATTTAAAAGTATTATATTTGGAGGTGGGTACGCTGATACATGGGTAAGTTTTAAAAATGTTTCAAAATATTATGTTAATCCTCTTTCCATTTTGAGTTAACTACTTTAGGCTTACGTTGGACAGCTAAATAGACCTTTTCTTCGAGGTACAGAGCGACAAAATACATTTTTTTAAATAGAATTTTTACGAAAATTTCCAAACGGTGCGAAATATTTTTATGAAATTTGGTATTCCGGGGATTTTAAGGATGCCAAATAAACTGGTCTAATTATTTTTTGGATATTTCATGGAGGGCGCTAGTTAAGCTACATTCCTATTACATTTTAAGTTCTAATTTTTTTAAGGTTAGGTTTTTTACCATCCGGGCTCCAATTTCTAATGTACAATTTTATTTTCTAAAAAAATTTACTCTTGTTAGAACTTCCTAATGTGGACGGTTTTCGAAAAAGAGGCTTTTAATTAAACTCATACAAATATTACGGTGTATAAAATAAGTGACATTTCTTAAAGTAGGCTTGTGTCATTACTAACTACAGTCACTAACAATCACTAAAATTTAGATATAAGGTTAATTAGAGTTTAAAATATTACTAATCCTTACTATCCTTAAAAACTCCGGAATACCAAATTTCATAAAAATATTTCGCACCGTTTGGAAATTTTTGTAAAAATTCTATTTAAAAAATTTGATTTTGTCGCTCTGTATCTCGAAAACAAGAGGAGATAGGCATACAGCTCATAAGACCACCCCCTGTATTTCGGGAAGTCTTTCTGAAACACCATGTATATTTAAATTAATAGAATATTGACTTTTATAGTAGTTAATAAATTAAAATCATACCAGTGTTACTGAGCATACGTATTAGAGATAATTTCATGTACCTAAGCGAACAGGATATCATTCAAGAAAAGTTTGGTTATGGTTACGTGTATGCCAACTTTGTGATCTCTTGCTTTCTTCTAAGTTTTGTAACAATTTTTGATATATTGTCTGTCATGCCAAAAGACCAGTTAGTATTAGTGCAATTTTTGTGTACTTCGAAAAAAAGAAGCTCATCGAAAAGGGAGAAAATTGTGTTTCCTCTGTTTATGTACAAACAATACTTTATGTTGACTCGTAGTCTTCCTGGGGGCACAAAGATCTTCTTGGGTCAGGAGTCAGGACAAATTATTTTTTATGTATGCTGACAGAAGTTCAAGCCAGTATGAAGAGGAAAATATATACAGGTTCGGAAAGTACCGATGGTCCATCTGCCGTTACGTGAGAGCGATAAAGTAAGACATAGAAATCCATGCGATAGAGAAGAATGGCTATAATGAAGGACATTTCAGGCGTTAGAGCATTGGGCTGAGCCACAAGTCTGTGATTCTGTTAGGCACCGGAGTGGTCTCTCACCATCGTTCTTAATCATTTGCGTGGTGTCGAATGGTACCATCTGGTCTGGATCCCTTTTTATCTGCGGTGCTGGGAGATTAGTCGTCTGCCTCCTCCTTGACGTTATCCGTAGAGAACGTCAGGGGTAGATGACGGGGAACTTCTCGTTCTTCCTCCAATGACATCGAGTTCGTAGGCAGTTTTAGCAAGATATTTTTGAGTCTGGAGACAAACAGATACACTGCACTTGTGTTTAGAAGTTCAAAATTTAAGGGTTTTAACTGATCCTTTGAATTATTTTTCCATGTTTTATTAGTAGCACTGTGAGACTGTGACTCTGGTGTCTATAGTTTATATTCCAGGTCTCTGTGGAGTACTTGCAAGCTTGGGGAACTTGGTCCACTGGGATTCGTAGGAGTGCTAGTGTATGGCATCTTTAGTGCTGTTTTGTACATGTTATAGCTTCATTGGAAATTTTGTTGAAAGCGATTTTGTGGAAAAAGTCCACTAATACAAATACAATTTAGACAAAATGCATTACATTTTAACTAAAGATGTGAGTGTTTCAAACTTGGCCCACTGGAGATTTTAAAACCTATTTGCTTTGCCTTGTGAATAAAAAAATAATGGGATATTGTTAATTTACTGAAGCTTTTACTTCACTTCAACTAATATAACAAGTTTGCTAACCATTTTCTTCCATTCTCCAAATCGTATCTATCTCGTCTATAAATTACAATACAATAATTTTGTTAAGTTTTGAGTCCACAAAATAGTTTTAAAAAGATTGTATAGTTTAATGACTTCTCTACGATGTTCTCGGGACAAAAACAAGTTTTTTATGGGAAATATACTTCATAGGGGAACTGTCAGGTTCAGTAATTCAATATTTTTGTATAATAAATATTCAAGTTTGGCGAGTTGTTGATTTATAATATTATTTGATGAAAGTTTCTAAAACATATTTTTCTATTTTAGTACCTTCTTAATACGTTTCGAGCAACAAAAACATTTTAGAGATTATTGCCTTGTTCTAAAATGTATTATAAGTCATCTAGAAGTTAAATAAACATACGAACATTTTGGATACTGCACAGACCACCTAGACTGGCCGTATCTAATTCCAATGCACGGGTACCAGTGAATGCAAAATCCGGGGAAGTGGAGTGTGGAAGGCAATCTGATCGCGCGCATCTTTAAGCAGATCCGGATTAAGTAATATTTTTATTACATACTAAACATTATATTGCATCTTATGACAAATATTCAATTTTAAGTTTGTAATTCAGAAAATAGTATATTTTAGTGTCATATTAAATAAAACTACAAAATAATTTAAATATATTTATTATCCTCTAAATAATATTAATTTATTTAATATTTGTCTTTTCGTAGATTTTACCGAATTAAATAATTTGACTTCATGATTTATTCGTACATCGATATACTTTTCATATTCAGCCCTTACAAGTTCTATTAAATGATTACAATTGTTAGGCAAATTATCAAATTGATGTTCATGCAAATTTTCAAATATGTTCACATTCAGAAAGTTTTTTAATACATGATAAACAATTTTATTTTTCTGTAGCCTAGGTGTTCAGCTTTCATCATTATTTAAAATTTTTATTAATTTTTCTGTTTCTTAGCATATTACTACGACATCTCGAGATGGATATGTCAAACAACCACGAACTTTAATAAAAATTAATTGACTACAAATACTGAATCTGAAATTAGTTTTGTTTGCGAATTTTTTAATTGAAAAAATATTTAATTAATTTTCAGCTATCTCGAAATGACGGGAATTGGTAAAATTTCATAAAAATTTAAGACTCATACATATAAATAATTACTAAAAATATTTTACAGTAATTCATTCATTATTTTATAATAACAATATCACGTTAATCACTACACTATGTGGGCGAACAAAATTATAGAGCTAACCCTGAATACTTGTGACGTTAACCGAAAAATGGCGTACATATTTACCTTTTATATATTCCTTTATTTTACTTACCTAAAGAAGGAAACTTTTCGCCTGTCTTCACCAACTCGGTCACTTCTATTTATACAATGTTTTACAATATGATAAAACGTCTAATTATCGAAATCACAGCGATGCGTACACGTCAAATGCTAGGACACGACTGAACGCTGGGCTCCAAATCAGGCTCCAAAGTGTTTTCACCAAAGTCGCTCTATAAGCCAGTCTAGGTGGTCTATGGGGTACTGATAAAAGAATTAATATAATGGGAGGTAACAAGCTATTTATTACTTTCAAACTTCAATACTTCAATTACAACTTAGAAAAATATTTAAAAAAAAATAGTATTAGTATCTAAGCAACAAAACTAACATAATTAATATAATAATTAAAAGTTTCGATCTAGCGTACAATTCCGAGACTAAATTTTGAACTTCTACACTTCCTTGCACGTCAGTAAGGGTGGTACAACACATTCACACTGGACATCTCTTTCTGGGCCGAAATAACTGACCTTCGTTTGGAATCCTTCCCCAAGTTTTAACGTTTTAGATCCAAATACACAGGAGAGGTCTGGAATTAAAAAAATTAAATCATTAAAACGAAAGACAGCACGGAAACATAATTTACGCCTCTTTAAGTCTTTATCTTGAAACGATTTAATATTTAGGTATTTAAAAAAGTTGTTAATGTCACACGTTTAAGAGAGCCATAATGATTTGTTGGTATGTAATTATTTTATCAAGCGGTTTTCTTACCTGAGTTCGATTCGACGTTGTTGTTAATTTTGGTGATTTGGTCAGATGGAGAAGCTAAAACAAAGATATACGGTTTGTTTTGTAATATTAGTAACCGTTAGTGTTAGCAAGAATTTCTTATGTAGATTTATTTGTTGTGTTATATAATATTTTGACAAAAGGGTTATTTTAGTCATTACGTCTTCTTTAAGGAAGAAAGAACATTTTTCAAAATTTTGTAATAATGTTTTCTAAAAAATAATAAATATTATTATAATAAATGTGATCCAAACCTACAGCTATTGAAATGGAACACCCTGTAAATTATTACATATTCTGTTAGAACGCTTTCTCTGAATTATAGTTACATAAGTTTGATAGATCTGCATGGAATAGTATGGGAGATGTAAAAAAAAGTCAAAGTCATCAGAACTCAACGGTTTATAAATCAAATTGTCCCCAAACACGGACTAAAACGTGAATATAATATATATATTACAAAGTTATAACCTTGAAATCAATCACCTTGGTTCCAAGATAATTGGTCCAATAGACCTTTTACTTACGAAAAAAAAAAACAGTAAACAAAAATATAAAATCGTCAGATTTGGTAGGTATAGACACGAAAACTTCTCAATCGAATACAAACTATGACATTATCGCAAGAGCAAACAAAAAAAAAAGCTTGTTGATGATATGTAACGGTCTGATACTTAATTTTTTATTTACTATCGTCTTTTTCGTGGGGGAGAGTTGGACCAATCATATTGGAATAAAATAAATAAGAATTCAACAAGTGTAGTGTATGATGGATCCATAAAAATATCGTAGTGCAAAAAAATAAATTAAAGATACTAATTATAAAATATACAGGGTGTCTTACCATATAACTAATACGTTGGTGACCTTGAATTCGACCGTAACCTTCTGTTTCAAGGTTAAGCCAATGCCAACTTGAAAATCTTAAATGAAATACCCATTTTTTTATGACAGCTATCGAAAGACCATTAAAATTTACATCCGAATATGGGGTCAGTTTCAAGCTAAATTTGTAGGATTTTGTATGACCTTGGAGTTGACCTTCCTGTGTCCTTCACAAGTTGCAAGGTCAAACTAATGTCAATTTAATATCATATGGAGTATTAGAAGTAGTAATTATTTAGAAAAAAAATTAGTTAACCTCCAAATGTCTTTCAAGGACATACCGGAAAATCTTTCTGTTCCCATATTCTGACACAAAATTTGACGCTCTATGGATTGCAAGCATAAAAGATTAGAGAGTATTCCATTTAATATTTTCATGTTGCCTTGGTTCGACCTTGAAACTTAAGGTCACGGTCAAATCCAAGGTCACCAAGTAACCTCTATCTACAACTTTCTTTGTTGTAATACCTGACTGAGCAATCAATTTACTTTCTAGCATGTAAGGTGTTTGACGAAGAAAAAAATGTTCTAAAAATAATTAATATTTACTTACGACAAACCCAAGTGTCCGGACAACAAAGCACCTCTTTACTGAAATAAACATGTGCACACTTTTTGTGCAGCTCCTCTTCTCTGTTTATCTGAGAATTGCACAAAGACCTCTGGCAGAATGGTTGTTCGAAACGTCCCTTCCAGTCTTTACCGCAAACACATTTAAGACAAGTATTTTTTGGGTAGAACTTTTCACCCTCTTTGTATACGTTTCCATCTACGGAGCATTCTGCTAGTGGGTTGCTTTCCGAAGCTAAAATCATTCAAAACTTGTTGATTTTTATATTCTCAGTTTATCAGTTCAGTCCACGAAAATTGTTGTTTACAATATTTTAAATACATAACGAAATATTAGTAAACATTTTCTTTATGGAGGAAGCAATGACCTGAGAGAGGGCTTAAAAATACATAAATATTAAATAATTCTCCGTGGGTTTGAATTTTGAGTCAATCACTGTCTAATGTGATCAATTATAGCTAAAAACAAGACATCTAATACATAAATATTAGATATTGTTTTAAGGAAGGTATAATTCTAGTGGCAATTTAATTTATATAACGAGCGTTCAAATAAAAACGTGGTTGAAGTTGGCTCTGACACATTGGACGTAGGGAGTAGCTTATAGCGACCAACTTAACCTCATTTCTCAACGAGCTGTATAGCAGCTGTCAGTTTCAATAACGTTAATGACTATATAACTTTATTTTAAAGAATAATCGTGATAACAATAACAAACAATTAAAGGAGCTGCGGAAAGTGTCCCCCTCCTTGTTATAACAATAAATTAAAGCAGCTGCTGAAAGTNAAAGTGTGATTTTTTCACTCAAAATTCCAAGTTTTCAATCGTGAATAACTAAAAAACTATTGATTTCTCGAAAAAATTCTTCGAATATTTTTTGCTCAAATTTTGATTCTCTATCGATTTTCCGAGAAGGGGTGTCAACCCCCAACAGGGTGGAAGCGTCAATCGGCGCTATATCACTAATGTTCATTGACCTTTTCTCTAACTATCTGCCAAATTTCAAGTCCATCGGTTCAGTTTCAAAGAATTCGGAGGTGAAAAGCTGCAATGACTGTACTATTAACGAATTAAGTAAAAGCGAAATTGAAGAACAAGCTCTAATGAAAATAACAGGACACAGCTATTCATCATCAATAAAACCAAACTTACAAGTTGACAAAGAGCATCATTCGAACATTATTCAATCGATTCGTTTGGAAGAAGAACAAACTTCAACATCTAGGTACTACAGAAATGATTAGCTGTGGCACCCGTAGCGATATTAGTATTCCTCGTATAAATTTCAAAAACTGCGTGTTTAATAATTACACAAAATGTATTTATTTTTAGTATTTCATAAATAAAGTTTGTAGTGATATGTTTAATTTAATTTAATTTTTTTAATAGTTGAGTTTTTCTCATCTAATCGCTGGGTAACAGTTTCTCATTAAACAACACAAATTTGTCCAGTAAAATAAAAACCTCTTACTCGTAATTATAAGTGAGAAAAATTTCGCATTCCGCTATACTTACGACAGTTCATCCCTACGGAACAACATTTATCCAGTTCGAATTTTCTGTAGCAACCAGGCTTAATAGGAGAACCCAGCCATTCAGGACAATCTAGTACCGCACACATAAACTTTGGAGGTCTAAAAATATCCAGCCATTAGTATAGGTCAATGGAAGATTACGATACTGTTTTGTTTAAAACATTTTTTTATATTCAATGTCTCCATCTACAGAACCATCTGGACAGATAGCGAAATTAAGAACTATGTTGGACAACATTGTAATAAGTTCGTTACTGTTTAACGGTAAGGATTTGGCCAGTGACGCCTCGTTGATATAGACAAGGTAGTGAGTGCTCACACATAAATGTGTGTGTTTGTTAATTTAGGTATTTGCTAGGTTAGATAGATATATGTACAAACAACCGACTTTCCTCCATTCTAACGCAGATTTTCTATAAAATGGAGTTACTTTAAAACTCAAATTACTTTTTGTTGTAAAGAAATTTGTAATTTACTTATTCGAAAGCAGCAAATTACAAATTTCTTTACAACAAAAAGTAATTTAAGCTTCAAACTAAGTCCATTTTATAGAAAATCTGCGTTAAAATGGGGGAAAGTCTGTTATTTGTGCATTAATTCATATTTGTATAAACTGTAATAAAATTTATAAAAATGTATTGCTGGTTGCCTATTAGCTATAGAGCCCTCTTAATACAAAAAACATATTAATGTCGATGATCTCGACAGCAACAGGTATTTTAATAAAAATATATAAATACATACTTTCTATTTAAAGAAAAAAAACATGAATTTATAATTCTAAAAGTAAATAGACTGACTAGGAACAAATTGCCACCCCTTTCCCCCATTGGAAAAAATCACGAGCCGCCACTGTTCTTAAAAAATTGGAAATACACTTAATGTAATATACGAGGGACATTAGAAAAGTTTAAAATCTTACCCTGAGTGATTTTCGCAGAAACATCCCACACTGCAAGACCCATAAGTTAGTTCATTTCTGATTTGTTCATTTAGTGCGTAAGTTTTCCCTCTGAACAAACAAGAATCGTTTTTCTGGGTAAAATCGTCGCATTCGTACTGTATAGCGCAACCCCTGCCATCTTTCTTCACTGGCCTACAGCCCAAATCTTCATAGATGAGAGTGCCTAAGGTGTCGCAACTTTTCTCAGCTGGAAAACAAAAATTATAAACAAAAATACTTCTCAATCAGGTTTAAGGCACTTGATTTAATTTAATTGAAAGCAAAATTTATTTGTGTGTTTAAAAAATCGAGTTTGTTACGTATAACGCAAGAAATATCAACCAACAGCGCTACTTACAAAGTGTAAAGAAAATTTTCAAGTAAAATATAAAATATGTCCATAATTCAGTTATAAAAATCATCACTAAGAACCACGCTGTCGATTGTAAAAGTGTTGCTTTGGAAAGTACCTATTTGATATAGGTATATGCAATTTAGTATAGCAAAAGCAATAATAATAATGTTTTTAGGCCATATATTTGCCATTAAAGAATGAGTGAATGTGGTTTATCGATCACGAACGCATTTGCACATACATTAGTTGCTTAAAAATCATTTAAAGAACATATTCCCATCAAAATATAGGGTGTAACTAAAAAGCTTGGTGAAACTTTAGTAACGCATTTTTTGTCGCAATTAATAAAAGAAAACTATATAAACGTAATAGAATATATTCGGGAACGCTTACAATTAGTTTTAAATTACAAAAAAAAAATATTTTAAATTTGAAGAGACTTTATAAAAATGCGTTCTTGATGCATTAGAATGCCCCGTTTTCGAAATAATGATTCGTTCGTTCGGTTGGTTTATTTGTTTATTTTCTTGTTTGTTAATTTTATTGTTTTGTTTATTTGTTGGTTCTTTTGTTCTCTTAAAATTCATGTTAAATACATAAAAGTGTTTACACACATCTAAAAAAAATTGATTACATAAAAGGTATACAGTTAATAAAGACACACTTTACAAAATAAAGATAAAAAATAGAAATAAAGACAAAATACATATTGAGGAGGTATATCGGGGTCCGAGGGAAGTGAGCAGGGGGGGTACTATGCTTTTCTTATGGGACTAAAGTCCACTGCCAATTTGAAAAAATTAAATTCTATTGAAATTATTTGCGATAAACATTATCTATACATATAGCAAAGAAATCTACTCATATGCATATAGCATACATATTGACTAATTAACAACATAAAAATATCATATTTAAGTAGTTTTAAATTATATTTAATGAACGCATAAAGACTATGTAGATGTGGCAACAGCGCTAATAATTGACTAGCGNCCTATTTGATATAGGTATTTGCAATTTAGTATAGCAAAAGCAATAATAATAATGTTTTTAGGCCATATATTTGCCATTAAAGAATGAGTGAATGTGGTTTATCGATCACGAACGCATTTGCACACACATTAGTTGCTTAAAAATCATTTAAAGAACATATTCCCATCAAAATATAGGGTGTAACTAAAAAGCTTGGTGAAACTTTAGTAACGCATTTTTTGTCGCAATTAATAAAAGAAAACTATATAAACGTAATAGAATATATTCGGGAACGCTTACAATTAGTTTTAAATTACAAAAAAATATTTTAAATTTGAAGAGGCTTTATAAAAATGCGTTCTTAATGCATTAGAATGCACCGTTTTCGAGATAATGATTCGTTCGTTCGGTTGGTTTGTTTGTTTATTTTCTTGTTTGTTAATTTTATTGTTTCGTTTATTTGTTGGTTCGTTTGTTTATTGGTTCGTTTGTTTGTTTGATCTTTTGTTCGTTGGTTTGTTTCTTCGTTCATTCGTTGGTTTGTTTGTTTGTTGGTTCGTTGGTTCGTTCATTCGTTGGTTTATCTGTCTGTTTGTTTACATGTATAATTATTTATTGGTTCGTGGGTTTATTCGTTCTTTTGTTCTCTTAAAATTCATGTTAAATACATAAAAGTGTTTACACACATCTAAAAAAAATTGATTGAATAAAAGGTACACAGTTAATAAAGACACACTTTATAAAATAAAGATAAAAAAATAGAAATAAAGACAAAATACATATTAAGGAGGTATATCGGGGTCCGAGGGAAGTGAGGAGCGCAGAGGGGTCCTATGCTTTTCTTATGGGACTAAAACCCGCTGCCAATTTGAAAAAATTAAATTCTATTGAAATTATTCACGATAAACATTATCTATATAGCAAAGAAATCTACTCATATGCACATAGCATACATGTTGACTAATTAACAACATAAAAATATCATATTTAAGTAGTTTTAAATTATATTTAATGAACGCATAAAGACTATGTAGATGTGGCAACAGCGCTAATAATTGACTAGCAGTTGTACACACTGCGAACCTACAGACCTCGGACATCGGAGATATTGCGCGTCAAATTCGGGTAAAGATGCGTACGCGTTCAAAAATGTATTGTGTGTAAACTATGTACAATATAATTATTATATATAGCAAATATATCGTATTATCCTCGCGAAGATTTGTATCCTTTATTTAAAATCCGTAAATCATGTGAACTGGTAAAACAACGAGAATTATGTTAATTTAGTTCTAAAGAAATGAAATGACACTCGCGCCCATCTCTCGTCCAAGTCAAAGAAAATGTTGGATGCAATTTTGAAGGTTCTGTGATAGAAATTACATTATTACTCACTGTTCGTGTTTTTAATCTCTATTTTAGTAATGTTACAAAAGTTTTGCAACTATAACTAATTTTTTAGATATAAAGTTTGCTGAGAAATATTTATGTTCCTTTGTTATTCCGTACAAATGCTTTTATCTCAAGTATTACTAATTATATTAATCAAGTAAAGAAAACTTTATGTAACCCTAAATATTGCTGGGTAATGATTACGATGTTTTTATAAACCATTAAATATATTAAAAGGATTTATCAACTGTATTTTTTATTCCAATAAATATATCACAGCTTCCTAGTCTTTTTTAATTAATCTAGTTTTTTAAAAACATTACAAAAAATCATCTGTTGTGGATAATTTATTGTTGATAACAATGTACATGGGATTTAGGAAAAATGTATATGTTTGAAATCAATTTCGTTTTTATCAAGTCTTTCAAATGTATTCCCTCCTTGCTGTCAGCTGATTGCGACGTTGCCACATTAATCCTCAAGTCAGACAGAAATGCAATTATTGGTTTCTGTTTCTAATTAATACAGCTGTACTATGTTCAAAACTTACATTAGTTTTACATCAAAAATAAGATAATACTGTGTACTATCTATGGAAAAGTTTTGTTTCACAATTTCTACATTTTTTTCTCAGTTATGGGCAAAAAAAGAGCCGCACCGTCCATCTTCGCCATATAAACCTATGTTAAAATGAACAACTTTCAACAACAATATCTCAAAATCTAGATCTGTGTATTTGAGTAAACCCGATATACTTCCTTAAAATAACAATAAAAGACTAATATGCTAGTTAATTTACAGACTAATCTTGAAAATCATGAAAATTTGCATTCAAAAATTCATAAAAATGTGACACTTTTTAATGTTGGTTTTAAATTATTTACTGTTTACAATTCTCAGATGTGAAGGTACTATACTGAAAAATTATATTCCGAAATAATATGTCCCTTTTCCTATTTTCTAGAGTCTAAAATACCTAGAATAAAGGTAATGTTTTCGACTGGTATTATAAGTATGAAATTGATCCTTATTGCCAAAAAATTGTGCAAATTGTTTTCAGTTTTTAAAGTTAGGCAACTTTGTTTAGTAAGCTTCGGAGAAGAAATAGTAGCTTTGAAACTTTTTTACAAATATAATCAGTATGAAGACTCCACGGTAGCTTTGGAACCATATAAACGGCAAGAAATCTGACTTACAAAGGCTGAAAATCGTTGTTTCAGTCTTAAACGTATTAACAGTCATTTTATTACTGAAAGAAACGATCGTTTCTAACGACTGCCGCAAAGTTAAGTAAAACAGATAAATTTGCTGTAATAACACTGGAGCCAGCTGTGAAAAGTATACCTAAAATATTACTGTCATAAATGTCAGGTCATTTACATAAATTAAAAAAGTAAAGGACCCAAAGCGGAGCCCTGCGGAACGTCATAACTTACTTTGAATGTATTTGACTTATATTATTTACAATAACACAATGAAAACTCTGGGAATATGAAAATAGTAAAGGTATGCTGCTATTTAAAAAAAACATAAAAATACAGTTCCTTTTTTACAATTTCATGTGAGTCAGTCGAAAATTTTCCTTAAATTTAAGAACTGGGTACTTACGAAATTGACTTCTTCTTTATTTGAAAAAAGATACCAAACAATATATTGCTAATTCAAAAAGATATTGATTTTCTACTCTGTATATCGAAAGAAAAGCAATCTTGAACAGATGTTTATAGAAACTTTTTTGTAACACAGAACTGATCAAATGATTAGATTTTTTAAATATTTCCTTGCAATGTCCCCAAACTGTGAACCAAGCAATAATTTTTTTTTCTCCAGTGTCGTACTTTTAGGCAAAGAACTTGAAGAAAGGGGTACATTTCTGGAATCTGGCACGCATATGTGATGAGACGTTTTAAAACAAAATATTTTTTCTGTGAGTAATATAATTGGACAGAAATAAAATATTTTTGTCAAGAACATTACAGCCTTCTCTACGACACATTAAATAAACACTAAGATAGTTATTTGCCTAAACATGCTGTATTACAATAATTTTAGAGCATACAGTAGCTTTATTCAAAATAATTGGGATCTAGACCCTATATTAGAAAGTTTTGAAACAAAAATTTTGCATGATATTCTCTTTTAAAGCACATGTTAAGCCATTTGCAATTTCTAAAAAGTTACTGTACCTATTGCAACTAACTACACAGATCCAGTTTATTATTATTTGTGCTATTTTTATAAACAAGGAACTATTTTTAATTGTTGTAATTGTGCTACTTACATTTTACGGTGATAAAGATGCCGAAGGTGAAACAAAGCGTGGATAATATTACACGAAACATCGCTGCTCTTGTATTGTTGTACTGATTACTGTAGAATGTGTGTGGGATTTATATCAAGACAAACAAATAGCCTTTATAAATAGAGATGTGTAATTATGTTATAAACGATTTTACACGAATTTATATAAATATTTATTTATCCGTGGACATAATTAAGATTTTTTCCTTGATCCAGTCTTTCATAGAATAAATTATGGTTTTCATGGTTATCAAGGCAATTTTTAAAGATAATTTACTTCTTAATTTGGAGGGTTGAGGTTACTTCGCTTCTCATTTATAGTCCTTGTTTACAATGCTGAAAATAGTAAGCACGACAAGAACAGAGTTGTTATTGCGGTTGAAGAAATAAACATCGATCGTAACGCGAGAAGAGTCCGATCTTAGCCAGTGTATATCTCTGTTTCTCGTACAGATTTGCGCGATTCATTTCTTACTCCAGTCGAAAACCTAAACTTTTTGAAATTTTTATTTTTCGATGTTAATCCTCTTTCCATTTTGAATTAACTACTTTAGGCTTATAGTGGACCTCATGAATTATGTTGGACATGGCTTAGATCCCTTCCTTATATTAGGTTACAACATAGAAACCTGTCAAAGGAGCCACTATTGTTAGGTTAGGTTATAACAATAATTTTAGGTTGCATCATCATACGTTAAAATAGCTTAAAATGGATCGAAACGGCTTTAAAAACAGCAGAATATGTCATTGTAGGTTCAAAGTGCATAAGCGCAATCATCTGTGAAATACAGGGTAGCCCATCGAAAACGTACCGCAAGGCATTACAGGGTAGTAAAGAACTTTTCGGCAAAATCCAAAAACAGGTCAAATTTGTTTCTGAGGGAGACAACTTTTGGCTCAAAAAGCATACCAAAATCTTCAACCCCCTAAGTGGGGGTGCTATCCCCTAAATTTTTTCAAATGGGAATGGGGGTCAAGTGGGGGGTTATTAGAAAGGGCTTTTAATTCTCTATACATCGATTCTTACTTTTTGAAAATCGATTCATTATTTTAGAAAATATGCAGCTTTGAAAATACGAACAATATTTTTGACGAGAAATGCGAAAATCGATTTAATTTTACTTCAAAACTTACGGTATTAGTCAAGTAAATGCTGAAAATGTTGTCCGCCAACTTGCATACAATGATACAGGTTGTCTTCAAACCGTTGTCGAACATTCTGGAGCACTTGCGGTGTTACTTCGCGACATACATTAATGATTCGTCCTCGCAGATCTTCCAAGGTATCAGGTGGA